GGAATAGAAGTGTTTTAAAGATGTCAAAGAGACAGACACAAAGGTATAAAAAAAGGTGAGACGAGTAATTTGGAAGTAGTCAAATATGACATACACCGGGGTCATGGTAGCTTGAAATCAACTGCCAGTTAGTAGACTTTTTTGCCGTATGAGTATACGTTGCCCAGGGTGCACCACGTGGAGGTAAGTCTATCGCACACCCCTCACTTGCAACTTCTAATTGTGTAGTGGGAGGAGTGGGACGGTGAATTAGACAATCAAAATAAGCCTGCTTCACCTGAACTCCCCACCAATCCTGCGACTTTCCAAGTTTAAACTTATTATTTGCATCGTCTTATACAGAAAATGGTTGGCATGATTGTACAGCCATTCACTTTTTCGCATTCAGCAGTTATTCGTGATAATGCCTCACTTCTTTTTTCCTAGTTAATAGTTCTATTGCTTTTGATAGAATTCTGATAAATAATTAGCCAAGTTTACCATTCATTGCAACCCACTATCGTCATACGAGGATGACTTTGGAACTTTCTGTGCACATTTTATGTGTATTTACGTAATTCTGTCTCCAGTTAATGTCAGTTTTGGATTGTGTAGAAGTTATTTTTATAGGCTATATCTAAATAGGGCTAATTTCTGGCCTAGAAATTTGCAATTTGAATGCAAACGTTCATCAAGTCTGTTTGGTCGGCCTATCAGTTTCAGCACTGCCGTTTTCCTTTCCAATCATTATGCGGATCATTCAGACACCCCGCTTCTGTATATTACGTTGGCAATTCTTTATTAATTTATATCATTTTTCATCGTGGAAACTGGTTGTTAGTTTACCCTTTTAAATAAAGCGTAAACCAATCTCAATATCGAAATGCCTATCCATTCTTTGCTGAAACTGTAAACATGGTCATCTGTTTAAGACCAGCAAAAAGAACTTAAGTTGTCTTGCGATTGTTTCCTCTCTTCTGTTGTGATGGTAAAGAGTGGTATAAGGAAGATGGATACAGACTTCAGAAAGGATATTTTCAAGAAATGACCTACTGCCTTCTAAATCGTAATCAACGGTCGTGCACAGTCTTCATCACCTAATTGCCCTACACATATGCTTTTTCCACATATCTGTGCTTTTCTAGATTTGATGGTCTACGATATGGACTAAGAGCAGAGCCCTCTGATGAGTTACAAAAATCCCTAGCAAAACTAAAGTTGGACACTTCAGACGGTTTGATGGCAGCTTCCCGGCAAATAGGCTTTGGAGACGAAGTCAAGAACCGAATCCTGGCAGGCAACTTCTTCCTCCTGAGAGAGCAAAAGCATCGACATTTAGACGCCGCTCGTCGGCTATGGCGGTGTGTAAAGGACGACTATACTAAAGTAATATACGACTATGAAACTACTGACTAATGCTTAATTGTCTTGGCTAACGCACTGCTAACTGCACTCTTTCTTATAGATATTCACACAAGTGGATTTCCTATTAGCGCCAGTCAATCTCCATCCGGCTCCAAATTTAGAGGAATACCAGAAACTGGACAGCCGTTCAAGAATCGCAAGAGAGGACCCGTGTACTGTTGGTGTTAATTTAGCAGGTCTACCGGCTATTGCAATCCCAATCAAACTAAGCGCCGAAAGCCGATTGCCCATTGGGATTCAACTAATCGGCCCACCTTGGTCCGAAAAAGAATTAATCAATTTAGCTGGAAGAATTGAAGAAAAAGCTGATTTCCCTCTACTTGTAGATATTCCCTCCCTATTAGACATAGAATAATAACTTGTCTCTAATACAAATTTATTGGGTCTTTATATACAAGTAACGGAAGGAAAGAAGTAGACAACTCATCTAAAGGTGAAAAAGAGCAATTCGGTAATTTACGTATAAAATTTGTGGCGAAAACAGAGGAGGAGACTTACGTTTTAGTCCGATCTCGGGATGTATATGCAATGCCTCTTCGACTGAGGTCATCAATTCTATTTTTGGGAAGTTTACCGGAAACACTCATTGCGTAAGCTCCAGGATTGAGTTTATCAGTATTTATCCATTTAGCAACCCAACTTTGGGAAGGATCTGTGACGACAACAATACCGTCAAAATTTTTAGATGTGCAATCTAAAATTGCTTCACGATTTCCTTGCAAGTGAATAAAATCCTCACAATTTTCACATCCAGCACCTTCAAATTGTGTAAGAGACTTTACCAACCCACAGACAAGACATGCACGTAAATTTCGCAGATCGGAAGGCAAAATATCAGCCGAATCCATCCCTCAAAATAGCAGTAGATAAGTAACGCAAAATCCAAGTCCATGAGTATTAAAAGAAAGTTTAGCTTTAGTTTCAAAATGATTTAAAAGGAAATAAAGCATGTAATTCTTGTATTATAAGTAATAAAGCAAATTTATAAAAATATTTAATTAAGTTCTTCTTAATATTATTTTTGTTTGAGGAAAAATTTGATCTTTTAGCTTTATATCTTACCCTATATTAAAAACAAATGTGAATAAATTTTGTCAACATGCCGTATGCTTGTTGTTTTATAATGCAAAATCTTGGTCAAGTAAGAACCTCAAGCATACATTTTCTTAGATTATTAAAAAGGATTCTTTGCGCTAACACCTGTATCAAAGTCGTATTTAATCAAAGGTCTCGAAATTCTCGAGGAATTTAGGAATGCTAGGCCTTGATCAAACAGTTTTAAGTGCATACTTTAATTTCTATTATTAAAAACACAATTCAAATTCTACATTCTAATGCATTTTAGCGAACTAAATTACAATAAATTATACATTCTGCATTCATTTCAACAGAATAATATCTGAATTCGCCTTGTCATTTGAATTAAATTCTAGACGGAATGTGAAAGTAGTTCGATATAAATACTAATTGTAATGCAATTAGACACCGATTACACTAACATCTGCACAAGTATGCGTGTATGCGTTGATACGTATGTGGTTGATTATCACCACATGGAGACATCATTGTTAAGATATGGTTGATCACTTAAGAGGAAACTGTTGCAAATGAATTAAAATGGTTTATCATTTATTCTTCAGTTGAAGAAATTTATAGAGTTTGGAGTCACCAAAACCGTCTGGATTCTAAATGATCTGGATTAACTGCTATTATATATATATATAAATACAAAGCAGAATGAAAGTTAAAAACCGAAGAATTCTAAACAAAAATGAGGAAGTCAATTTGTTTTACAATGTTAAAAGTGTAAGATTAAAATATTTCCAGGCATGCTCTCAGCTTTGTTCACACTACTATTTAAATTATCTGGAGCAAGTGTGTCGTTAGTTTTAGTGTAACCTGTGGTACTTAATTATCCCCAGACAAAACACATACATTACAGAAAGGACCTATGTTTTGATTAATTCCTATTATTTTCAATAAATTATTGTGGATTATCTGATCATCTTCGATTCGTTCAAAAAATATGCATGACAGGAAATATGAAATCAATCCATTCGAGATTATGACACTTCGTATGTATTCGTGTTTTTAAAAGCAAATATAATATTTTAAGTATTGGTAGCCATTGAAACCAAAAACCAATTTTATTTTGATGAGATTTTGATGAAATTATTTATTTCGAATGACATATGTTTTGACAGTCACAATTAGCCCATTTCTGACTTCGGACTTCAGAGGGGAGGAACATCAAAGTGAGAAAATTTCGAGAGGGAGAAAAGAAGAGTAATTCACAAATGCAAGAGACAGAGAGTCACAAAGCCAGAGAAAAGGTATGATGAGTACTGTGGAAGTGATCGAATATGGCATACTATCGGGTCATAGTAGTTTGAAGTGAGAAGTTGACTACCGGGTTATAGACTTTTACCATATGGGTATACACTGCCTAGGATGCACCAGATGGAGGCAAGACTATCGAACACCCCGATAATGATAAATAACGCGACTTATAATAACCTGATAAGCCCTCTAGCCAACATCAATTCATTTCGAGTATTTATTTGTTAAGGGTTGAATAAATTAGCTGAGTTATTTTATATTCAACTAAGATTTCATTCAACTTGTCCTGCAAATATTAAACAAGTGGACAAAGAATCTGGCAATCTACCTTGATATTGTGCCATTCTGTTTTCTCCACCACGAATTGCAAATACATTTTGAGAATATGTATGCCTTGATATAAAGAATGATGTGAAGAAATACTAAACCGTAATAACTACAATTCCCGATGAAATGATTTATTGGTGGCCTTCATCTAGAAAAACAACATGACGAAATGTAAATGGAATGTAATTGAAATATCTGTATGAATAGAATAATATTTTTAAGTAATGGTAATAAAAGTTCGAAAGCAATAAACTCGTTTGAAACAAACTTGCGGAAGAAGCGCAAATAACGAATTAAGTTTGCTGACTATATTGACTGAAATTTTATAGAGGTACGGGCAAATAAATTGATGCAGGAAAGCTCATCACGATCGATCTTCATGTGAATTCAACAAAGTAGTCAAAACATTAAAGCTAAATCGTCGGCTTTTTTAAAAAATTCTGCAAACAATTGCCACGATATATATTATTTATTACTCGATTTATATACTACTTCAATAGCCCGCCATGAAGAGAAAAATGAAGCAAACCATATTAATTTATAATATATTAATAATAAAATCGAGTTTATTAATGATACAAAAAAATTAAGATTTATTGATAATAATTGCCAATCTTTTACATTTATTAACAGTGTGTTGCTAAAAGTCTGGAACTTTATTTACGGTTTGGGTTTATCAAAGGAATGACTTAACATATTCAATTGGCCTTTTGTAAATTTACAATGATGTTCGACACAGATCTAAAATTGCACACAGTTTTATAATATCTTATGTCCTGAATGACTAATAAATAAAATTTTAAGATACTAATATCACTATTTCGAAGCTCTGTACAAGTGGCATTTACAACAAATGGGTGGACAAATTTTGTAAGTTTGAATAGGCAGATAAGACAGAGTTTTAACATTCATTATTTAAATATCCTTTGAATCTTAACGTAAAGATTGATGTTTACCTTATTCCTTAAAAACTTTTTAAGGTCATGTAAATTGTTAGAACAGATGACTGGTTTGAGCGGTATCATAAATTTGCATTTGGTAATTTGATTGGTCAATTTTCGTCCAATGGTAAGTACTGCTTTTAGTGAAATGAGTGGTCACGACTTTAAACCTATTAAACCTACAACTGATAATGATGAGGAAGATGACCCAGTTATTGCTTCAATTAAGCGAACTGGTTGTCTTGACCTTCACAATGCAATTATGGAGTGCATGTATGAAAACAAGGACTGGCGTAAATGCCAAAATGAAGTGAAATCGTTTCGCCTGTGCATGTCCAAGAAAGATAAAAAGCCTTAATAAATTAACATTTTTATATGTTTTATTTTGACTACAATCCTGGGTGTGGTATCCTTAAAATGTTTTTTTTCTATAATACAATAATTTATATTAAAACAGTGTTTTTCATTTTATGTTATTCTGTTTGCCCATTATAGTTCGGCAAATTAAGAATGGATTTCTTATCGTTTTATTAATTTGGCCTTCTTAAAGTGTACTATATTGTTTCGCTATCTCAGCAGATTAACTTTATTTTCTAGGTTTTTATTCTCACTTGAATGTATATTCACCATGGATGACCAAAAGCTATCTGCGTTGAAACGATGTTTTCCAACCCTTGTGCAAAGTCTTAATACTAGAGAGATATTGGATTACATGATTGGTGGTGAACACTTCTCCCAAGACGAATGTGAACGTGTTACAGCCCTAAATAAGACTGCCATGGACAAAGCCCGAACTTTTCTGGAATTTCTTTCCAAAAAATCTAATGAGGCTTTTACGTGCTTTCAAGATGCCCTTTCTCAAGAACAACCATTTCTGGCAAACATTCTTCAGGAACAGTTGAATAAAATCCCAGTAACGATGTGAGGATGTTATTTGCATTAATCTTACCATCCGATTATGTAATGCCAGATATTAACTTTTTTTACTTAGTCTGGAGGAATTTCGGCTCGAAAGCAATTCAGGTTATGCGTCATTAGTTTTTGTGTTTTCCTTTTCATTGGAAGCAATTAAAAGTTGGGTTTTGACTTATCCTTTTATCTGGCACACTGTTTTGACGATCAATTGCTCAGCTATAGGGTAAGGAAATTTAAATGGAATTTGTAATGTGCTTTCAATCGTATGAGCGTGTGTATTGTTGCTTTTTCAGAAGATAATTTGAAGAGGCTCATTTGAAATCGAATGAAAACTTTGGAAATGACATTCCTACATGTAACATCACATTTTTTTTCGAGTATTTAAACATACTTGGCACTTTGGTTTCCTTTGTTTAAACTTTCCATTTCAATGAGAACCAACACTTCTAATACATTTTTTTTAAAATTTATTGGGAGTGGTGGAGGACTCTAAATTGTCGACGATGGGATTTGTCTGAAATGCTTTAGTGCATCCTTATTAAAGTTAAAATGTTCACATTATAATTAATTAATTAATTGACTAATGGAAGTAGAGATTTATTGAGCACAAGTAGGCAAACTCTTTTTTATCGCATAAGCAACTCAGTGGTAGGAGAAATTTTGATCGAAGAATAGCTCAGTGCTGAAATTATATTGGTTTTATCGATTATTGGTGATTGATTTATCTATCGAAAGATGGCCTAGGGTAGGAACTATTATGCCGCCATTCATCTACCTTAAAGCATCTATTTTAGTGTCTAGCTCCCTTGATTGGCCTAATTTTTTCTACTTTTAGAAACCGCCGTTCAAGCCTGTCTGATATTCACGAAACCCTTCTACGTGGAGCTGTACCAGATCGTCCAACTTACTACACCAATAGACCACAAACAATCGCCAAGTTGACAGATGGGTTCCGTTGGCTAGGGAGTACCTTTCGACCACTCTCTGCACTCTGTCGTCAAGACGGTTCACTTGATCACGATGGCAGCCTTCAACCTGATATTCCCACTAACGCTTGGTTCCTTATCTACGGCCCTCCTGGCCAAGGAAAGTCAGTAATGACGGCTGCTGTACTGCGGCAGAATCGACAACTCCTTGCGGATATGTTCCCTGGAGGTGGGGATTTGTCAACCTAAATATTTTATCATTATTACTTCATTATGTACATGCTAGTTTTAATGTAGGAAAAACTGCTCTTTTGGAGAAGGCTTACTTTCCCAATTTTATTATCCATGCTCCATATCAGTTGCAATTACCGAATTCGATTCCCAATTGGAAGATGCGGTCATTTAATTTCTTCTCTTCTGTTTCTTTGTCTTATTGCTATCGATTTTGTAACTATAGTTGTGTTTTTCCAAAACTGGGGTCTGTATTTGTTCTATTCCTTTGAAGAAATTGATGATGTCTTATCAGTCAAATTGCCGACAAGTGACGGTAGATAGAACACACAGATTTGAGGACTTCCTTGAAAATAAATTGAATATTACATTCGGCTTAATCTTAAACTACTGCCAAATCCCACCAGCAGGACTACCGTTGAAGCCGGATCAAATTACTCTGGGGAACTAGGATACGACAGACTTTGCCTTATTCAGAAGCCCAGGAGCTGAGTGGAGAACAGGGGTGTATTGGACAACCGTAAAATTTAATCCAAGGGGCTTGAAAATTTTAGTCCTGTTCAGTGTGTGCTGGTCGACTTGTGTCAATATAAGTTTCGATACTAGGTTAGTGGTTAATAGTGTCTCTACAACCCTAAGTCGAAATATTTCTTTTCTTTCAGGTGTCGTGTGGCTGCGTGTTGGAGAAAGACCCAGCATGCAACCTTCACAACAAACCATTGACGTTCTCTCTGCCTTGATCGAACATGTCGATGCTCCGTCCTCTGTCTCTCCCAACGCACCAAACCCTTCTTCCATTCTTCGACAGAGCAGCACTGCAAGTTATCGAGGAAATAATGGTAGGATGAGCAGTCGAACCAGTTCTGTTGACGAAACCTTCCGTGGAGGAAGTGGTGGTATGGAATCAGAGATCAATAAAATGACCTCCCTTTTGCATAAAATGCTCATCGCCAAACAATATCGGCGCTCCGAGGTGTTTGACACTCACACCGTCTCTCCTACTGCACTTCTGCTGGTTGTACTAGATGATGTTTGGGATGATTATATCATCAGTTCACTGGCTGGTCTTCCCGCAGCTTTTGTGGTCACTTCGAGGGACATGAATATTCTCCAGAGGGTCTCTACTCCAGTGAAAATGGTGAATATTTTCATTCGTATTTCTTTCATTGCAAATTTATGTCTCCTCGCTTTTATGATTAAAAAGTTGGTCAAATGAAATCGCCGTGAGGGTAATCGTTTGTCTTGGAATAATCAGTTATTTTCGAATCGACTCGGGACTAGTTCTGTTAACTAATGGTTTTACTATTGAATCCTGAAGGTCTTATAATTTATAGTTTCTGTTAAATTTCCTAACCTAGAGTTAGTTTTTTTGTGTTTTAAAACTAGGTTCAAGATCCTAAATATGTTTCTGAGACCTATTTCTCGATCTTTTGCCTAATGGAGTTTATACAGTTAAATCAGTTGGCTAGTCGCAAACAAATGAGTTTATAACGGGATAATTAATTAGATCATTATCGGTCTTTGGTATAGAGTCCATATGATTGCCCATTTGATGGAGAATTGTAATAGTGGGGAATAGAAACTTCGTTGAGAACTTTGGTTTTTTAAATCCAAGTAACAACTTGAGAGATATAGTGAATGACGTTATCTTTTCAATGAAAACTTGATATTCACTTGCTTGAGTATTCTCTATGGCTGTTCATTTTTTGTAGACAACGGTATAAAAGGTTAAAGTTTGTAATTCCGGTCACTATCTACTAAATAGACGATTATTGCTATCTTACTTATTACTAACCTTGACAGTTGTATTGTGGAATCATCTAAGGCTTTCAAGCGGCATATTGGTCTAAATAGGGATTGAATTGGGAAAGGTGTCGAGTATAAATAATAGTAGAAGTCGTAGTGGAGGGGGGGGGATATGTTAAATGACTCCCTTTATGATTCCAGGATTCTTCAGATTGGCCTTTTTTGCCTTTTCTATTCATTACGTCACTCTCATTCTCTAAACGTGTTCTAGTTGGTGTGCAACTGGACAACTACCAGTTAAATGTTTCCTTCCAATTACGCGCGAATTCTGGAGCAATTTATTAATGGGGCGAAATATCTTTGCAGATATTCTTCAACAACTATATTCTGAATAGTTCGGTGCTCTACTTTTTATAACTTTCGTTCCTTGATTAACTTTAAAGTCTTACCAAATTCCACAGCTAAATATAGCCTGCTTTTACTCTCATGTTTATTACCTGTAAGGCTGGTGGACAAAAAAGGTAGGACATCGCCTACTCGAAAAAATGCTCTTTGTACAATTTCAGCGTGATTAACAATGGCTCAAGACTTCGTTGCGCCTTATGAAAGGCATTGAAATTATGCGGCCGGGATCGGT